ATCTGTCCTCCAAAACAATCCAATGTTTCCATCAAGAGGAAGATGTTGAGCTCACTTCTTGTTCTGTTTAAAATTTCAGTAAGTTTATACATTTTAACAATTATATGCTCTTCATTTCTACACAATTCTATTTCAAAATTAAGCTAATGTTCAAAACCATAAACTCTTCTCCACCTGAAATCTTTCTAATAACTGTAAATAACAAAACCATTAGCAATTATATTCTGCTTCAGTTCTTGATTTTTTAATTTATTTCTCAACAAAATTCTAGCATCTCATGATAGGGTACACATTTATGTTTGTCTATTATTTCTCATCCGTATGATGCTTCCTCTGCTGAAAATCAAACAAAAGATATTTTTGGCCACAATCTGGGTTTGATTAATGGTATTTCTTGTACAATTTGTTCTCCAAAAACATTTGCTTACTGATCTATAGGTGTCACGAAAGACAAGTAGTACAAAGGGCTAACAAATAATTTAGAATATTACAATTAAAATGAAATGGCATTAAAAAAAAAGTTTGGTAGCCAAGGTAGCCCAAGAACGTTAAGTCATATAACAGAATATGGTAGTACCTTAAAGTGCTAGTCATTAAATAAAAAAAAATAAAGTAACAAAACTCTTATTACCTTTGATAGTATTGTAATCTCTGTTTATTCCATTTTCCAATGGACCATGACTGTAACCTAGGAAATATTCCTCATTCATTTATAGGTAGCATAAATCTTACTGAGCAAAGACAAAAAGAATTGACATATTCTTTCAACATGTCATTATTAGCCATGACATGATATAATTATGTTTTAATTTATTTTCAGAATATATTAGAAATGGATATCTCAGGCTTACAGTAATCAGTTACAAAAAGGAAGCTCAACATCTTCCTCTTGATGGAAACATTGGATTGTTTTGGAGGACAGATGCATTTGAAGGCATTATCAAGGTAATTTGCAATTACTGAATTGTGGAAATAGTTGATTCTGCTTATAAAACAAGTTTTAATGTGGCTAGTGTACTGTATAAAACAGTACTTTTACTGTAAATAAATGCATATACACTATATAAAAGTTATAGTTCTACAAAATTACCCTAAAAAAACAACAATCCACAATATACAGTTATTTTGAATACAATTTTTCTGATACAGAATAGATTTGAAATGCAAACAAATTTGATGGATTATAAGAATCCATTATAAGAATGATAATAGTTACTTTAAAAAAATGTTACTTCCTACTAATCTAGAATATAAGACTCACATTTTCACTGTCCTGTATAATCAACAATTATAATTATAAAAAATATATATCTGTCTTATTCCCTGATAATTTTGTTGCAAAGATTTTTTAAAGCTAGCATGATATTTTTTTGATTATTTTATACAACTGCTAAAGGTGTATT